GGGGGGGGGGGGGGGGTCTAGGGATTTTGGGTAGAGAGCAGAGGAACATTTATCTTTTGGCAAAGTGGATTTGGTGATTTCACCTTGAAAAGAAGGCTCTTTGGCATCGGGTTATTGAATCCAAGTATGGTTCAACCCAATTTGATTCAGGTCGGATACCCAAACCTTACACTCTTCCAGAGATCCACTCTTTGAAAGAATGGTATATGCTCCAACACCTTTCCCCACGGCTTGACCACCTATCCTTCAAAAAAGACACCTCTACACATTCTGAATCATGGATGATCCATCTGTGAAGAACCCTCATGGATGCAGAGATTGATGATTGGGCCCTTCTATCCACGTACTTACAGCCTTTACAAGCACTGGCTAGAGCAGACTTGTGGTTATTGGTCTTAAGAAAAAGGCAGTAATTTTTCATCGAAGTTTATGCCAAAGGCTCTCTCCACCATTGAATCACGCACAACCTCCGGCAATATATCAGCATATACAGTCTGGCTGTTTCCACAAAAAGGTGAAATTCTTCTTATGAAAACTGAGACACACTTGCATTAAATTTAACACCTTTGATAAACTACAAAGAAAATCTCCATGGTTATATTTTTTATCCCGTCCTATGTGCTACTGCAATTCAGAAACTCCTATTTGCCTTTTTGGTAGCTGCACCTTTGCTTCTAATTTCTGGGAGCTTTTGAAGGTGCCTTTGACTGGAGTTTCTTAGATTGAGTGATACTCCGTCTTATATGAGGCATCCTTTCAACAAGGATAAAAAGCTCCTTCAGAATTGTCATGTCCGTGCATTTTTTTTTTTTTTTTTTTTTTTGGAGTCTTTGGTTGGTACATATTCATAGATAAGACTCGTGATATCGGTTATTTCATTGATTCTACACTAGTCTTAGCTATTACTCAGAGCAAGTTGTCTCCCCCTTTTGTAACTGTGGTTTATCTTCCCTCGCTAATTAATAGAGATGTTTTTTGTAAGAAAAAATCAACAGGACCTTCTTCTGTATCCCATTTCACATATCAATGACTTTCTTTATTTAAAAAAAAAAAAAAAAAAAAAAAAA